GCTACAGCTGCTTAACAGCTCCTTTATGTACTCTCCGTGCGTGAAGCTGGTCATGCTGTCGGCTCTCCTTGCTTCCTTGGGAAGCTTGGCATCGCTGGGTTTCTCCCCACAAGCCATCAGCTCCTGGAGTCAAGTAACACTCCAGGATGTCCCCAGCTTTTAGCAGCAGCACCGAAATATCTCCAGCTGTGTCCTCCCTGATGCTGACTGCTTCTCTTAACCACCAGGGCAGGTAGTCCCCAGAGATGAGCTTGCAGACCCTTCTCTGGGGTGAGAGCAAGATGGAAAGACTCAGGAATGAAGACAGGATTTCTGGAGAGTGATTGGCATTAGTTTCTTCTTGCTTAAAAAAAACCAAAAAACAACCTGCCCGCGCTCTTCTCAAGTTGTGTGGGGATCCTTGGCTGCACAGGCAGCAGAAGTCGTCCTTGGTGAAGCTTTGGTGGTGGAGAAGTGAGGCTTGTGTCTGGCCAGAGCCAAGCTAACAGGTTTCCATTTGCAGGATGTGCCATTCCACCGGGGCTGCAGCATCCTTTCTATGGTAAGGTATGCGGTACGCCGATACGCTGAGCATCTCCAGGCTCTGCTGCTCTTCCCGCATTGATGACTAATGAGCCGTCCCTTTCGGGGGGGGCCCCGCGGGCGGCCTGCCGGCCGCGGCCCTGCTCCTCTCCAACACCTACCAGCTCTCTGCCGTAGCACCGGCACCCATGGCGCGCTGTTGCTCCAGTCATTGTGCCCAGTCGAGCACTGGCACGTGCATCGTCTCGCCTCTTGGTGCTCTGCTTTGAGCACGGCGAGGGGGTTACTGCTTTTGCAATTTCATCTCGCATTTGAAATGTACATTTTTATATTAAGTTTTTACTACAGGGAATTATTTTTAATTATAGTGAGCTGGAAGACGATAAAATAAAGTTGAGTAAGTGAGACCTATGCGAAGAAGTCATGGTAACCATATCATAGGAGTGGAAAGACACTCCTAGGACACCCGGTATTGTTCCCATGAAACAACATATCCCAATGTAAAGAAAATAATTGTAATTAAAGCTGTTAATCTTCTTCTTTTAATGAGGGGAAAGGAGGAGAACTGAATATCTCAGGGGCAAGATCCTGAAGTTTGTACAGTTTGCCCAGGGAGGTGGCAGAAACCCCATGCCTGGAGATGCTCAATTTTTAATGGGGAAGAGTTTTTATACAGCCAGTTGTCTTGGCCTGGAGACATCACTGATGAGCAAACGGCCACCTGTGTCCTTTTCATCCTTTGGTTTTCTGACCAGGAGAAGCCACCTGCTAGTAGTACCCGCTTGCCTGGGATGGGACAGGAGTGAGGGTGGGTGTAAATGAGCTTCCCAAGCCAGTCTTTACACTCTGGGCCGTATGTGGGGTGAGCTGCAGAGTGGCAGTCACGTGGAGTGACCTGTGGGGTCTAATCAATCATACATCTTGCTTATTAACTCCTCAACACTGTGATTCAAAGTCCTCACGATGGCCTGATTTATCTCATTAAAAGCCACGATCTCTGACACTGTCCTGCGTTCTCCATCTCCTGGAGGGATGTGTCCGGAGTGGGTAGGAGGGCACAAACGTGCGGGCTGGCTTTTTCCCCATCGCAGCACTCGTGCTCCCGGCGTTGCTGCTATCCAAGCATGGACTGTTGGGTTCATCTCCTTGTGATTGATACCCTGAAAATTAAAATTTGGCTAAGAAGTCCTAAACTCCATTAGAACAACTATCTGCAATGCCAAATCCGGGGCTCTGGAGCTGTTAATTGTTCTGAGTGTCTTGTTGCATATTGAGCTGCTTCTAACTGTATGGTGAAACGAGATGGAAGCGGCAAAGAAACCAGCGGCTTTGCTGAGGCAGAGCCTCAGCCTGCCCCTCCACAGTAGCTGATTAATTAAAATATTCACATGAAAACGGTGCCTTGATTATTTTTTAAGGTGACGGCCGGAGGCGATGCCGACACTCTCCGCCTGGACGCAAACCAGACGCCGGGGGTGCGTGGGGGTCGCTGTGTGGTTTAGATCTGATGAAAGGCAGGAAATAGGAAAATCTGGCAAATCTCCCTGGCTTGACTTAACGGAGCCTCTTGACTTTTGCTAGAGTGCATTTTTTGTGCTGTAATGGCCAAGTGGAAATTTAGACTCGAATCTGGACCTGAGTGCTGGTATGCTTAGCTGGCTTGTACGCAGCGGTGAAAAAGCAGGAAAGGTGTTTGAAAATCCCAGCCCCCACTGTTTAACTGTTGCTGCCCTCTGAATTTCTTTGCTTTACCTCATAGCAGAGAAACCTGCAATGGCAACAATAACTTTTTCCTTGCCTTTTGTGTGGTACCTTATTGTTTCTGAGATGTCTCCCTTCTGCTACCCAAGTGAAACTATATCTCATTCCTCACAAGTCAGTGGCGTTTCATTCGTGCAAATTAATTCAGAATCCTGCGTGGTTACTTTAAAATAGATACCACTGTCCCATATTGTGGAAGAGCATTGCATTTTCAGAAATAGAAAGCAATTTATCAGTGTTTAACCTCTTTTTGTGGGGCTGGGGATGTTTTCAGCCATGTTAGTCCTTCACTCTTACCCCTGGCGAAGGGCTGTGATGTCCTAGCAGCCCTGCAGATAAATGCTCAGGTTCAAGCCCATGAAGAAAATCCCCCATGGACCACCAGCTGTGGGAACAGACCCTGAAAAGAAATGCTAAGAAGTGGTGTTTGCAGTGAATTAAGCTAATGGCTGTTAAATCTCAACCTGTGGGCTGTTCTTTCAGTGCTTTTCCCACCACCCCTCCACACCCCCCCCAGCTCCTGGGCAGCGTGCAAGCTGGTGTGCCGCCGAGCCGCGGCACGTGCCACTGAGCTGGGCGGTTAAGATGCCGTTGTAGTGTGACTGTGGTTTTTGTAGCCTTCCTTAATTTAATTTAGCTTTATATGTTCAGACTATAATCAATTTTTATGCTACTTTAATAAGCAAATTTATGCTATCAGCATGCTAAAGGGACTTGTCATTCACAGCTTGCCAGTCTATGCACCATTTTCTGTGTTAGCCAAGTGCTCAGCTGTCGTAAATTTGGTAACTGCTCGGCAATTACCAGCTGGCATGCCGATCCGCGCCAGGCGGGCGTGTGGCCCTTGCCTGTGCTGGCCCCTGGAAATACGTCTCGCGGTGGAGTAATGGGACGAGCAATCCCATATCCCCAGACATTGGGCAGTTGGACTCAGCTCCGTTGCCAAGTGCTGTTACAGCAAATATGGACTTTTATTTCCTCCTTGTGAGAGAGACAAATCCTGCGTTAGAAAATGCCTGAGCATAAAAAAAGGGACTGTCGGGAATCACTTTGCTTTCTTATTTGAAGTGCAACTCACCGGGACATTTCTTTTTCCTTTCTCCTCACTTTGCAGGAAGATTTGTCTTCACTGTAAGTGCTCCCAGGAAGAGCACATCGTAACAGTTATGCCTCTGGAGATGGAGAAGACTGTCACAAAGCTCATGTTTGACTTCCAGAGGAATTCGACTTCTGACGACGACTCAGGCTGTGCCTTGGAAGAATATGCATGGGTCCCCCCCGGCCTGAAGCCTGAGCAGGTAACGGTGACACCACCCAGTTGCCAGAAATAAATTGGTTTAATATGCTTTTTTGGAAAGAGTCACCCTGATTTTAATTCTAGGGGTGGGAGGACTTGTTGCATGTGACTGTTTCTGGGCGTGCTGTAGAGACTTTCAGAGACAGGTCTGGTCTGAACGCACAAGCGAAGCAAAACAGGGATGCAATCCTTGCAGGACTTGTGGTTTTCTGCGTCTGTAGATGTAATTGGTAATTGAAAGGGGGGAAAAAAAATACTTCCGGGATGGAGTTTGTTGTGGTTGTGCAAGGGAACAGATATAGACTACTACTCTTTCATGGGAAAAAATAGTGGTGGGACTGCAGCGTTCTCCATTTTCTCCTGTTCTGCCTCCCTGGACCACGCTGCTCTGCGGTAAGGCCAGGGCAGACAGGCAAAGCTGGTAGATGACTCTGACAAACTCGCCAAAGTCTTTGAGGCTGGGTTTTTCAAGCTTGATGTTTGTGCCTTACTGGAAGGAACTGCTCAAATGAAGTTCAAGTCTCGGTGCAGGAATTGAAGAGGATGGATTAGACCTCAGCCTGCTGTCTGTGCAGAGCACACTCTGATTTCTGCTGCTTGCAGTTTACATGATTCGTTTGGTTTTTATGCTGATGTTTTACATGTTCAACTCAGAACTTAATTTGCAGAAGAGATTGCAAAATGAGCTTAGCCTTGATAATTGCTATGGCAATCATTTTAAACCATGTAAGGAGGCTGAGAGAGGGTGGAAAGCTTTCATTCTTACTGTCGTAGTTGCTGACCTTAAATACTGTGTTTTCTAGAGATTTTATTCAGAAGGCCTTAGGCATTTCCTGAAATATTTTGGCACCACCCATAGGCTGTAAATATTATCTGTCTGATTAGAGGAAATCCAGTTGTTTGGGTTTGTTTTTTTTTCCTTCTTCTTGTCTTTACGTGCCTGGCTCAGTGCTTGCTTGAAATTCCACAACACCGTGTGTTTCATTTGATGCCATCCAACCATGCAAATCAGGCAGCAACCTTGTTTTCCATTCACTTTCCTTATGTCAGAGGCTCCCTGTATGCCTCCCAGGAGGTACAAGACACCGCACATGGACAGATGCAGATGGTCCTGAGCTAGCTCTGCTAGTCCTGCGCGCTGTGGGTACGTGAACTAGTTGGGTTTCAGGAGTCCCGTTGGAGGACCATACCTGAGCTGGTGCCACCTGCTCTCAGCATTGCCTTCTGTCCAGGCATGTCGGTGGCTTCTGGAGCCCAAGCTGTCCCACAACACTGTAGCTTTGTGTAGAAACACAGATATTTAGTGACAGGTGGCACCTGACCCGGTAGACATGGTCTCTGATGAGTAGAGCAATGGACAGCAATTGAAACCCAATTCCAGTATGGTGGTGACATATTCCAGAAGACCTGGATGCTTCTTTGATCCCTCAGGTGTTTTTAAGAAATAGTGTGCTGTCAGGGCGTTTGGCATGCTCAGGAGAAAACAAAAGTCTGTTAGCTCTAGCAGTAGGTGCTGACATCTCATGCGTTAACCAGGTTAATGTATTTTTAGGTTCTTCCAGCATCTGCTTCTTGCAGAGGTCATGGTTCTTCTCGGTACGAACACCCTCTTTCTAATTGCACTCCTCTGTCTGCGTTGCTGGGTCTTTTAGCAGATTTGCCACTTCAGACCTGTCTCTAATCACCATGGAGATGAAGAGCAGCCATAAGCAGAACCTAAGACAGGCACTGAAATCCTTCCAGCATAGCTCATCTGCCAGGCCTTCCAGGGACCTTTCATGCGTCAGATAAGCCACTGAGGAGACAAAAGCAAGGTGTGACTTAGCAGGGCTGTGAAAGAGCCACAGTGCAAGGCTGGGGGTTGTCCCCGGGTGAAGAGCAGCACCCTGAATTTCTCCAGGAGTTACTGTGTGCCCGGGATGTTGCAGGGCTGGGAGATGCCCCCGGGTGCAGGAGGGCACGTTTGCCTCCCAAGGGGGTAGGAGGTACCTCCACAGCAGCTTACTGGAGCAGTGCAAGGCTGCAGACAGATGTGTGGCTTTCTGGTCGATGAGTCAGGTGTGTGTACGTGATGTGGAGCCTCTGGAAGGCTGATGTCTGCTGTGGAGCAGCTGGTGGGCTCTGCTCTGCCTGAGGATGCTGCCATCAGGCTGGACTGAAAATACAGGTTTGCAGGCGGTGAATTTTTCTTTGCCTTCGGCTGTTTCACTATCGTATTTCTTTGACATGAAACAGATGAAATGAAACAACTTTTTCTGCAATATTCTACTTTATTAAAATCTCTACGCAGTGTATGAGCTGGGGAGCTAAGTGGTCCCCTGAAAGACTAATGCAGTTTTCTTATTATACTTGGACGGCAGCCTCCTACCTCGTATTCTTGGGAGACAGCGTTCACGTCTCACTCAACGTAGCAATTTACAGGATTTCAAGGGGGGAAGTTGGCCAACAAACATGACATCGGGTTTTGGCAGTTTCTTTAGGTCATTTCAGAATCTGGAGAGTCTCTTCAACCCATAGCTTAATATTTTAAATATAGCCTAAAGGGGAATCAACCCAAACCTACAAGGTCTCACTGAATTCCTGGACACTAATTCAGGCATCAGCTGGTCTGTGGTACATGTCAACTATGGGAAAATCATGTTGATTACTTAATGCCCACTACTGAAAAGAAAAAAACACGTTGGTCCAGTGTTCACAATAATGATCCAGACAATGCATTGAAAAGCAAAGCTGAAAGTTATCTGTTATATTATGGCTCGTCAGTGTGCAGGACCACAAAGTGCTTTACACAACAGCCATAAATACTATGTATTTCTAAATATGTTTATAACACAGGGATGAAGATGGTAATATCAAAAATGTTATAATACCAGTGCATAAATTATGGTAAAAATTCATCTGGAAAACTGGCTAAAATTTAGGACATCTCTGCTCAAGAAAGAGGAGTATAAACTGAAAGGAGACATGAAATGTTATTTTGTTGAGGAGCCCAGAGGAGCTTGGTTTGTTCAGCCTAGCAAATCGAAGGGTTATGATCACTGTCTATGCATAAGAGGAGGAAGAACAGTTACTCAAGCTCCAACTCTGGCACAAGAACATAGATACAAACTGGCTCTGAATGCGTTCAGGCAGGAAATTGGAATTGGTTTCAAACCATCAGAGGTGTAAGGCTCAGCGGCAACCTGCCAATGGGGAAAGCGACGGGTAAAAACCCAAGACTGAGCTCCATAAATTACAACGCGATTAGAAGATGTAGTTTCTTGTAATAGCAGTCAGCTACACAGGATGGCCAAGAGGCTCCTGTGGGCCTTAATCCCAATTGGATTGGACCTTGATGAGAAGTTGGTTTATGGCAGAAGAGGGACTTCTCTTCTGGAACATACAGATGGGAATAGGAGAGGTGGCTTTACAGGAGGCAAGGCAGAAGCTTAGGACATGGGCTTTGAGAAATACTCTTCCTCCCTGCCTGCCTTTGGATGGTCGGACAAAGAAGTAAGTGTGGAAGGCTTGAAATGGGCAGACACCAATAGAAATGTGTCCTCAGCAAAGCAAAATCCCAGACCGAGCCTGGCCGCGAAGACAGGGGAAGGCAATTTCGGGAGCCAGTTTGTCTGCTGGGGCTGGCAATCCGACAGCTGATCCTCCTTGCACTGACATAAGTTTGAGGGCAGATGCTTAAAAATAAGTACTTTTATGATGTGTTTTTCACATTTTTAGGCAGGGCATGTGAGTGCACAGCCTTGAATTCCTTGGGCTGTGGTTTGGAGAAATCCAAAGGGGTTATAACATGCCAGCTTGAATTTCTGAATACAAGGGATTGTTGAGGATTTCTGTCTTTATTGTGTCTCAATAATAGGAGCAGCTGGTTATGGGCATAGATTTCCAATTAAACAAAAGACGGGGCTCTACTTCAGCTGTGGTGCGGCTTTCTGCATGGCTCCAGCATGCCAACGTTCGAGACCCTTGTATATGCCATAAGAACTTAATTCCCGCTTGCTGTCAGCACAGTTGCTCTGATTGAGTTCCTTAAAAAGTTATGAAAATCTCATCTGAGCTAAACTTAGTAGCATGAAGATTTGGGGGACCATTCTCTAAAATGGCCATTAGAGCTTGGACCTCAAGAGCTTCGCAGCGTGGTGTGAAACTCATAGCTGTCATGGGGAATTTATTCAGGGACTAATATATGTGTCGATTCCTGTTCTGGATCTTTTGTGAGACCTATAGCAAGGGCTTGAGGCGTAAAAGCTCTGAGCTTCATCAGTTACTTTCAGGTCACAAAGTGAGGAAGGAGAGCAGAGATGAACCTCCACTGAACATGCATTTACACCTTACCTAAAGATACCCACTTTCACCACCTTGGTGTGGTAGAATGTACATTATCTGGGCCAGTCGTCTCTGGGGGACATGTACCTCATTTCTGCCTGTGTGTCACAATCGAGTGCATTTTACCTTCTCGTCCTTTCTGGAGCCCTGTAAGTTCAGCAACTTGTTTCACCCCTCAGGAGACTGAAGTCTTGCGTGCAGCAAGGAAGGAACAAGACAGACCAAAGCAACCCTGTGCCTCAAGCCTGCATGCTAGTGGGAAGCAGATAAGCTAATTTATGGCCAGATAGGGGAAGGACAGAAGCCCCATGAAGAGCTCTACTTTCCTTGGTAGATCCTTAGAGCAGAGCATGCCGGATGGGGAGCTGAGGGCACTGAAGAGGAGCAGTAACTCATGTATACCGGTGCCAGAAGCTGTAGCCACCTCTAGCTCTGCCCCCTTGCATGCAGTAGTATTTTATCCAAAAGCTGCGTTTCAGCACATTTTAAAAAGCTCTCCAGTTTCACTTTGAGGTAGCGGTAAGTCCATCACCTCCCCGGTGAACTCTTTCAGTATCTAAATAGCCTGGCAGTTAGCGGCTCTTATTTCAAGGTTGGAGCTGTCTAAATCCAACCTCCAGGCATCGGACCGTGCCGAATGCTTGCCAGCCAGATGGAGCAGCAATCCTCCACATCAAA